ACTCAGAATATTCGATCTAACAGAATTCATAAAGTTTTAAATATCTAAGGTCTACTACATTGGGTTTCAATGATAAAGGGATTATAAAATCAGAGTTTGTGGCAGATGTATCACGATGTATCACTGCAAACTAACCAGGACGAAACAGTTAAATTCAACTGATATTACTGTCACGACTTTGTTACTTAATTCCCCCTCTAATTCTGATTTTACGCTCAAGTTTAATAAAAGCAAATTTATTATTATATATTTATATTATATTATTATAGCTCTTTGAAAAGAGGAGTTATGATAAAAACCTAAAATATTTTTATTTTACGTTAATTTTACTTTAGTTTCACGTGGGACTAGACATTTTCAAACAGGCGAAGGGAAGAAGGCATTTAATGACTTTATTAAAATTTATTCTAATCTAGATAGTTAGATTTTTGTTAACACCCCCTTTACCCCCTTTATCAATGCAATTCTAACATAATCTTTAGAATATCTTCGTATACACTCAACATACACTCTACATACACTCTACATACACTCTACATACACTCTACATACACTCTACATACACTCTACATACACTCTACATACACTCTACATACACTCTACATACACTCTACATACACTCTACATACACTCTACATACACTCTACATACACTCTACATACACTCTACATACACTCTACATACACTCTACATACACTCTACATACACTCTACATACACTCTACATACACTCTACATACACTCTACATACACTCTACATACACTCTACATACACTCTACATACACTCTACATACACTCTACATACACTCTACATACACTCTACATACACTCTACATACACTCTACATACACTCTACATACACTATACATACACTCTACATACACTCTACATACAGACTTCATTCATCTATATACTCTCCATACTCAGCAGTAATATTATTATCAACGAATATTATCAGATATTACATATTTACTTTTATTTTGGGGGGTTTAGAAAAGAAAGCATTGAAAAAATGTTCAAAAAATATCTGATTCAATTTTAAACAATAACATTGAAAAATTTTGAATATATTATTTTTTTTAGTTTTTTCTTCTTGAAACTTTACGAAGATTTTTTTAATGGACATTTTTAAATTTTAATCAGACATAAATCACCCTTAGGAATGTGTGAGGTCCCGAAATGAGTTGGACTTATTTGACGACGTTGATTGGAAACATTTAAACCATTCGCTATGGTGAAACAAGTATTCGCTATGGTGAAACAAGTATTTGCAAAATCAAAAACTGATGAATTGAGCCATACTGGTGAGTCCTAATAGGACGTAACAATGTGTCATATGAATATTATATGCTCGTTTAGTCCGCAGAACTCAAGCAGCTGTGGTAATGAGTTTTAGCATTATGCAAGGCCCTCAACTTATAATGATCGAGCTGGTTGAGCTCTCTGGTCCATATTTCATAACCTAATCATCAGGACTTATTGGGGCAGTGGTTGTCAGTGTGTTTGGTTCGTAATCTAAGGATTCACGGTTCAAGCCCTGCCTACTGCAAAATCAAAAACTAATAGGACGAAACACTGTGTTTATGGATATATATATATATGATAAATTATGATAATGTGTTTACTTAGTATGCTCTTGTGTAATCTAAATAGAGATATCAATTTGGACCGAATCCGCTATGTGTATTAAAAACTAAATTTTATTTTCTTAATTTCTTTAATAAATTTGTTGAAGAAATTAAGATATCTGATGTTTTGTTACAAACCCTCTGACCAATGGCAGTAACTCCGTCGACCGAGGAGATTGTTTTTGTTATTTAGGTAATGTATGTTGTACTAATTTCCATGTCAGTCAAAACCTTTAATATTTCTTTTAGGCTTATCGGGCTCCAATTTGCGACGATATGTTAAAAAAATCTTGAACAGACCGTCACGTACATGCATGTATGTATGTATGTTTTTGTTAGCATATATTGTTCGTTTTCAACCGAGTACATAATAGACGGTTTATTGAACATAACATTTATGCACTAGTGCACTGCACACTGTACAGTGTACAGTGTGCAGCATCAATGCAGTTGTTACAGAGTAGATATACAACGATTTACGAGATTTTGTTATTATACATCGATAAATATTGGTTTACAAGGTCGTATTTTGATACAGGGTTACCCATCAAGTATGATACTTTGAGTATCGTCAATCTTCAACGCTTGATCTCAATATCCAATTTTGGCAGTTTTAAATGTGATCCCTTACTTTAAGTTATCGCTGCAATCTATGACCACTTCGGGATTTCGAGGAGGAATTACATCGCCAAAAGTTCTAACTTATGTAAATCTGAAAAGATCTTAACCTGAGCGTTAAATTAATTGATCGTTCTTAAAAGATATTATTACACAGAGATAGAATGAGTTAGCAGTTGTAAAGAATTGTCTTATGGTTGAAGAAAACCCTGGATAGATATAAATATTGTTATAGAAATTAACAAGGTTGTTCGACAGATATAGGCTTTAATACTTCATACATGCAGATACAGCTAGTAAGAGACAATATGAACTGTGAGAGGAGGCCATAAGAAGGTTAAGGGAAGGTGAACTGTAGAAAGGTGTTTGAAGAAGATAAAGGGTGTATAAAGAGGTAAAGGGAAGGTGTACTGGATAAAGGGTGTATAAAGAGGTAAAGGAAAGGTGCACTAGATAAAGGGTGTATAAAGAGGTATCAGGAAGGTGTGCTGGATAAAGGGTTTATAAAGAAGGTAAAGGGAAGGTGTACTGGATAGAGAGTGTATACAGAAGATAAAGGGAAGGTGTACTGGATAAAGAGTGTAAAAAGAAGTTAAAGGTAAAGAGTATTAATAAAAGAGTGTATAAAGAAGGTAAAAGGAAAGAGTATTAATACAGAAGTGTATAAAGAAGTTAAAGGTAAAGAGTATTAATAAAATAGTGTATAAAGAAGGTAAAGGGAAAGAGTATTAATAAAAGAGTGTCTAAAGAAGGTAAAGGGAAAGAGTATTAATAAAAGAGTGTCTAAAGAAGGTAAAGGGAAAGAGTATTAATAAAAGAGTGTCTAAAGAAACACCCTGCACACCATGGAAAACAACAAAACTACAGTACGGACAGTACGAATTTCCATCCGAGATGATAATCAACGATAATTAATAATAATAATACAGGATTACTAATACACGGTCAATATACAATTACCCAAGATATACTCGTAGCCTTCTACTACCCAAATGTTAGCTAGATTTAATAAAAGAGTGTATAAAAAAGTTAAAGGTAAAGAGTATTAATAAAAGAGTGTATAAAGAAGTTAAAGGTAAAGAGTATTAATAAAAGAGTGTAAAAAAGAAGTTAAAGGAAAGAGTATTAATGAAAGAGTGTATAAAGAAGCTAAAGGTAAAGAGTATCAATAAAAGAGTGTATAAAGAAGTTAAAGGTAAAGAGTATCAATAAAAGAGTGTATAAAGAAGGTAAAGCGAAAGAGTATTGATAAAAGAGTGTATAAAGAAGTTAAAGGAAAGAGTATTAATAAAAGAGTGTATAAAGAAGTTAAAGGTAAAGAGTATTAATAAAAGAGTGTATAAAGAAGTTAAAGGTAAAGAGTATTAATAAAAAAGTGTATAAAAGGAAAGAGTATTAATGAAAGAGTGTATAAAGAAGGTAATGGGAAAGAGTATTAATAAAAGAGTGTATAAAGAAGTTAAAGGTAAAGAGTATTAATGAAAGAGTGTATAAAGAAGGTAAAGGGAAAGAGTATTAATAAAAAAGTGTATAAAGAAGGTAAAAGGAAAGAGTATTAATGAAAGAGTGTATAAAGAAGGTAAAGGTAAAGAGTATTAATAAAAAAGTGTATAAAGAAGATAAAGGGAAAGAGTTAAAGATTTAGTAAAGATAAAAAGTATTCAAAGTGGAGGTTCTCTGTATATAAAAGAGATGATTAACTTTTGCAATCATGTGAACGCACTAAAGAAGATATTGATATTAAAACAATAGTTTTTGTAATATTCATTACATATATCTACATATTCTTAATACTAATTAATATAAACAATAAACAATATAGATGGATCATGTGTCTAATATCCATATATACTTGAGAGTAAGGTTAAAATGATATTACGCTGAGACCTGGAGTTAGGTTGGATCGTCGATCTATCTAGAGTAGAGAGAACCTCGTGGTTCAACCATACTCCCCATCCACCCTAGAGAGGATTGGGGAATCCAGGATAGACAGAGGCGGGGGGATACAGGGGGATACCCATAGAAGGGGAGGGGGATATAGGGGGATATCCATAGAAAGGGAGGGGGATTCTCTGCCTTGGTAGGAGAAAGATAGATCGACGATATACTTGAGATTAAGGTTCGTATAAGAGCTGGGGTGGTTGGTTTGGGAGCTTACAGTTAGTCTTATAATCCTAATTTAGCCACTTGCACACTTCAACAGTTGTACCAGAAGCAAACATAGGAAACCACTGGAGCAAACATTGGATATTATTGGAGCAAACATTGGATATTATTGGAGCAAACATTGGATATTATTGGAGCAAACATTGGATATTATTGGGGCGATCAAAGTAGTAAATCATTGAGCAAACATTGGATCTTATTGTAGCATTAGTGCAAGTATTAGATAATCATTAGTTCAAGTATTAGATAATCATTAGTGCAAGTATTAGATAATCATTAGTGCAAGTATTAGATAATCATTAGCACAAGTATTAGATAATCATTAGTGCAAGTACTAGATAATCATTAGTGCAAGTACTAGATAATCATTAATGCAAGTATTAGATAATCATTAGTACAAGTACTAGATAATTATTAGTACAAGTACTAGATAATCATTAGTTCAAGTACTAGATAATCATTAGTACAAGTACTAGATGATTATTAGCACAAGTATAGGAATATCATTAGTGCACATATTGGGTAATCATTAGCACAAATACTAGACAATTGCAAATACTAGATAGTGCGCATATTTGGTAATCATATTAGCACAAATACTAGATAAGTATTAGTACAAATATCAACTTTTAACTTAAGTTGCTTGAATCATTATCAGATTTTGTTCCATAAACAGTTTTGACCAGAAAAAGAAACTCGGGGTTCGTTTATCCATTTTAGATTGTATAATTCTTCTTATTGAAAGATAAAAATGACGAGCTATTAAAACTTAACTAAGAAGCAAAAAAACAGTTTGAACGAAGAAATCGAAGAAAGAACAAAAGAAAGAAATTTAAAAAATGTAGAAAATGTTGAAATTTGAAGACAAAATTAGAAACAGAGGAAAAAAGGAATAACATACCACGACCCTCTTCTATCCTATTGTTCATCGGGTGTTGAAATCGCTATTTTGATCCTCAATATCCTTTTCTTCTTGAAAGTTGAATATATTGACTGAAAATTCCAATTCTACATGATGCCTTCTGCATTTATACTGGTTGCTGTACTTTACAGTTTCAAAGGTAATTAAAACATTATTTTTCATGAATTATTTTTACTTTTTGACTTCCGCAAATTTTTTCGTTGATCTTTTTAGAATTCGTCATAGGGACCGTTTCTTAAACATAATAATAATATAATTGATTGTAAAAAAAACACATATATTTTATAATAAAAGAAATGAAAGCGTTTGAATGAAAATAAAAATGTGTATTATTTAAAACAACTTTACAGCGTTCGGCTTACAGCCTGCCGCGGCGTAGGGTCGAGAAACTCCGTTTTAGTAAACAACCCACCAATAATTTTCATAAAAAGAAACCGTGGTAGGATATATTATTTTAAAGTTTTTTTACCACCTTAAAAGTTTTGTAAGCACATTAAATAACAGTTTGTGACCCAAAACTTAGAAACAAATCCTCCAATAGCTTTATTGCTTCACAGAAAGTAATTTCTCGAGATTCCGAATCAATTCTAATTAGAATTATCTTTTCCGAAAATAAGCTGTTAATTGCTAGAGGGATGGTAGATCCAATTTCAAGTTAGAAAGATTTACAGGGTACCGTTGTAAATCATTTATGTCGACAGTCCCTTTAAACATATGGACGACAGGGTTTTATAACTTGATTTTAAATAAGTTGTGAAAAGCGTGTCTTTGTGTTAATTTGATAAAAATGTTCCCGGTGTTTAAAAAAACTCACAAATCAATTTTGCAGAACTATAAAAATAATTTTGATTGCGCTTTGAACTATGAATACATTTCTAAGAAGATTATAATTAAACCTCAAATTTGACATTTTTTTCTCATTTCTAAGAAACCAACTAACTTTCTTTAGAGAAGTATAATTTAAAATGGAAAGATTTGTGTGTTCTCTGTTAGTTATGAGTTTCTATTCTCAACCCCGCAATATGAATGCGACTTTGTTGAAGTTTGAAACAGAATCTTAAACACTCATCTTTCATTTGAAGAAGAATAATCTCAGCGATAACAAAATGTGGGGTTTCAATTCTTTTATAAAAAATAAAAAAGAAAAAAAACCCGACCTATCCTATCCTAACCTATCCTAACCTATCCTATCCTATCCTATCCTATCCTATCCTATCCTCCTTCCTCTCCCGACTCTGCTTATCCTAACCTATCCCAGCCTATCTTTTCTTAAACTATCGGATTCGAAAGTGGTTTCTGGTTTTCTTACTATGGAGTAAATATAAAAAGATTAACCAAGAGCTAGATATTCAATCAAAATATTTTGGAAATCAATTACTTTTATCTGTAATGTAAACCTGGAGCTGAGATATCTCTTGGTTCTGTGCAGTATATTTGCATACTAGGAGCTGAGATATCTCTTGGTTCTGAGCAGAATATTTGTAAACCTGGAGCTGAGATATCTCTTGGTTCTGAGCAGCATATTTGTAAACCTGGAGCTTTGATATCTCTTGGTTCTGAGCAGTACATTTGTACACCTGGAACTGAGATATCTCTTGGTCCTGAGCAGTATATTTGTGTACCTGGAGCTGAGATGAATCAATCTCCGGATACAATTAATCTCTGGGATTGGCTCTGATGCCTGGTCAGAGCTACTCAGAAAGAACTATCAAGAAATAAAGGTTTTACGGCCTGTCAGTGATACACGTACTTATATATGAGTTGTTTGTGGATGGTTTAGTTCAAAATACATGAATAAAAAACAAACAAATTTCTATTCTGGTTGTGACACAATTTTGTACAGTCTTATTTACAAATAATAGATTTTGTCAAGAAGAGAAAGACTCGAGAGGGAGAGAGGAAGGGGGGTATGGGGGGGGGAGGGGTCGAACAATCTTGACTACTGCACAGTAGACGGTAACCGCCAAAAACATTCTCTGAAAAAAGTTTTTGGGAAAAAGTTCCGGCACTGAAAAAGTCCTTTGGAAAATAAGTCCCAGGAATCGAGTCCAGTTACATTTTTGTTAAGGACTTTTTATGACTTTTTTCCCGAGTATTTATTCTAGGTTTTTTTCCAGAATTTTTTTCCCAGGACTTTCTGATAAAGCTTCACAGTGAACGGACATACATTATCTCAACAGATGTAAATCTTTATAAAAAATATTAAAAAAATTCGCTTTAAGAAACACTGGTTCTGATGTAAAGTGTTTGGTGATTTTACAGTACATATCGATCATTATGGTCCTCAGGAACATCTGCGAGTTGTCAGATAAGCTCGATCCTTTAAATGGGGTAAAATACAAGAAGCGAACAATCCCTTTAGAGCTTTTAAGCGTACCCACTTGATTTCTTTACCAAAGCAATCCTTTAGAAGTTTTGATAACCTAGATTCTAGATTCAGACTGATTTTTCCCTTTGAAGATGTCTATACTTACTTGATATCTAGAGGAATTGTATTTTATTCTAATTCTGGGATCTTTGCAACTTTGCAACTTTGGCTATGGTATCTAATAAAATTCAAGAGTTTGAAATATTAAAGGCTTTTAACATCGGGATCCAAAGATACAAGGATTAGAAAATTTCAGTTTTAGCGTTCGGTTCCTTTGAGTTAATATAGATATAATATAGTTCATACGGTCGGTTCCTTTGAGTTAATATAGATATAATATAGTTCATACGGTCGGTTCCTTTGAGTTAATATAGATATAATATAGTTCATACGGTCGTGCAAAAGAGGATTGGTAGCATTTTTTGTCCAGTTTTTTTTTCGTTTTTCATCTAATTTTTTTGAAAAAAACTATAGTGAAAAAAAATCTTTAGATATATTTATTTTGTTATATTTAGGCACGGTCGGATTGGCTCCGGAGTTTTTAGATGTTATTTCTAATGTTACCATTTCACAGGTAAACTAAATATTTTTACAATTTCACAGGTGAACTAAATATTCTTTGCAATTTCACAGGTAAACTAAATATTTTACAATTTCACAGGTAAACTAAATATTTTTACAATTTCACAGGTAAACTAAATATTTTTACTAGTTCACAGGTAAACTAAATATTTGTATTTTCTTTTAAATATTGTTTTATTCAAAGGTTAATTTTATGCTTATGATTTTGATACCCCCAGTTAAAGAAAAAAGGACTGTAGGTATAACGTTTAAAACAAATCAAGTGAATTGACAGTATTTAAGCCTTGATCTTGAAAATATTTTTTACTTAAAAGACTCAAAAAGAGTCAAAATTAATGACTAAAGACTAAAAAACTAGATTTTTAACTTTTCACACATTATAGTTTATTAAGACAGATATTTTTCCAGGAACAAAAAATCCAAATTCAGGGGGGGCGAATGTCCCCCCGCCCCCCCCCTGTATCCGCCCCTGGTGGGGGAGGGGGGAGGGGCGTAAATTACAAAAGGAAATGGGCTCTGATCGGTTCAGAAGCAGAAAAGTCGAATACATCAGATGTTTTGCCATAAAAACTTTAGTCAATATTGGGAAATTATTTTCCTATTTATTAATAATAAGTATAAAAGTATAATAGAATAAATATTTCTAGGGGAGAGATGCTTCATTCGCCTGCAGTGTTAAGAATCTAGGGGGATTCAAGGTAAGAAGAGGATAAAAAAAGATGTAGAATAATTTTATTTTATATTTTTAACATTTATGAAAAAAAACATATTACAAGTTATAGAATTTAAGGTTCTACCTTACTTTCTTTTTTATCAATTCTCTGTAATGTTGTCTAATTGTATACCTTCATGTTATGGCGCTCAGATTTCTTATATATTTTTATCTTTCAAGTTTTTTTAGTTTGTCTTCTATATAGAAGGAGAATACAGAAAATACGAATAACTAAATTTAAAGCATGTAAAAAGGGAATTTAAGTTTTAGAAAGGGACTATAAACTAAATTAATTGATACATCATTTATATAAAGGCATAGAGTCTATGTGAAATGATCATTGGTCAATTATGAAACCAGCCTATTTCATAATTTGGTTTTCTTTTAACAATCATTTTAGATTTTCTATAAAATCATATTCCAGGGCCCAACAGGTTATAAAGCATAAATATGTGAAGTACACCTGCAGTATTGAAACAGTACAACAAAATGGCCGTTTTACACTTTTTTCCAGTAAATTCCTTTATATATTCTATTCTCTATGGCTGTAGGCATAAAAAATTTGAATTTTTTTTTCAAAATTCTTTTATTTTTACGGGCAACGCCGGGCCCTTCACAGTTTTTACTGATCCAGTATTTGGATTTAGATGAGCGTTTTTTAATTATAAAAACTGATATTATCAGAAATAAATATGATTCAAGAAAAATACAATATCTTTCCTCCACATTACCGATTCCGATAACAATGTCAAGGGTATTATTGTGTATTATGCCACATCTTGAATTTACAACAATATTCCCTTTATACTGTTTCAGGTTGCCTGGATTAAGTCGGATACTAAAGCTATCCTTGCAATCCATGATCACGTGATCACAAATAATGATCGTCTTGATGTGACACATAATGACAAGGTAATTAGTAATAATTAGCATGAAAATCAAGCGTCTAATTGCCTATTAAGAAATTATGTCTTTTATATCCAATGACGGTTTCAAAAATGTTGGAAACATACGTTTTCATATTGCTATATGTCCATGGTATATTGTAGTAGGGGAGTGGAAGGACGCACAATGTAAAAGAAAGGGAAAGAAAGGGGAAGGACGAACAATGTAAGAAGGAGTAGAAGGACGCTCATTGTAAAGGAAGGGGAAAATCGCAAAATGTAAGGGGTAGGGGAAGGGCGCAAATGTAAGGAAAAAACGCAAAATGTAATAAGGAGGGGAAGGACGCATAATGTACGGGAAAAAACGCAAAATGTAAGGGGGAGAGGGTTGGGGTATACCAAGGAGAATTGAGTAGAAGGAGGGCGCAAAAACTAGTTCTTCAGCAGTCCAAAAACGTCACAGCAAAGTGTACGGAAACCCAATCGCCCCCTCCATCTATTCAATTCTCCTTGGGGTATACTAACATCAGTTTACAGCTTATGTAAAACTTGATTTATGTACAATGTACAACTGCACTGTAAACTGTACAGGATACATGGACGCTAACCCTGCGAAGTGTACAGACTGAGGACCGTGGACCATACATGTGTCAAGTTAATTCAACTCCAGTACGTAAACAGGTATGTAGTATGTACATTATTGTAAAATGTACATGTGTACATTGAAATTTGTACATTGTTATTTGATGATTAAATGTAGGAAGATATGTATGTGAGATTTAGAAGATTTAAAGTATACTTCAAAGATTAAAGAATGTTGAGCTATACCATTCTAATAATTAAGTATAACAATCATGTTCTGAGTTTACAGAAAAAATTTCGATATGCAAAGAAGGAATGAAGGTCCAAGGATGACCCGTAATACAGATATTTTTTTTTTAAATTGCAAAATCAAACAATCCACCATAACGTATTTTTTCAATCTTTGAGTAGTTTTTAAATCATTTTATCTGAGTGTTTATACCTGGGTAAGAAAGAAATTATTTATTTTATCTAACGGAATTTACAGTTTAAAATAACAAAGGTTAGTTATGGGATAAGAGAAGCAGAGTTAGGGGCAAAAACTCAATTTCCGTTACCCAACTTGGTTGTTTTCAAAGAGCCTAAAACTTAGTATTATGAAGATTCATGAAACAGATTTCATTACAAGAAAATGGAGAGTTAGACAAATATCTCAATTCTGCCAGAAGTCTGGAATATGTAAAATGTTAAAGATGTGTTAAAAAAGATTAACCCTTCCGATATTAAAAAAGGAGATGGTTCTAAATGTAAAAACTTGCGTGCTAAATAACATTTAAATTAGTTTTTAAAAAGTTTTTTTTTATGTAGCAAATTTTTAGCAATGTCTTTAGAAACCAGCATTAATCAAATTTAAGAAAATCAGATCAATAAAATAAAATCACATTTATCATACTTTTTTGGAAGAAATGTTTATTATGTTTTTAACAATTTTACAAGCAATGATTTCTTTTTGTTTCTTAAAAAAGCTCTAATATATTTATATACATAAATTTTTGTATAAATTTGACACAGTTTTATCAAATAATTCTCGAGACAGGAACTTCAGATAGAACTCTTGATCAACTCCTAAACGGTTTAGGTTTCAGCCTATTATACCCCCTTTCATTTTTCTATTACAGTCCCTTTAAAGAGTTGCATATCCAATTCGCTATGGTACCCTTCGAACCAAATATTTGATTTGGTCATGTGTGATTCACATCGTATTCGCAATAAATTAATATTTAATCTTTTCTGTAGATCGCGCACCTCGAAGTAGTAATTCCGCCGAGAATCGTCGATTCTCTCTCCAGTAGCGACGATTCTGTTCCGGAGGGAGGGACGGCAAAGCTGACATGCATCGCCGAGGGGTTTCCCAGGTTAGTCTGCAAAGGAGGAACAGCAGGTATTATCAAATCCTAGATTTAATGATAAAAAGGTTTGGTCAGGTTATTCAATTTTTACAAAGTAATTCTGGCAGTATATATAAACTATGTGCAGTATGCATACAAGTTTAAAGGCTAGGTCTTTAGCACGAGTTTGTGTTGCTCTGTGTTAAAAAGGAGTAATTGGAAAAATACTGTTAGATTTTCACGTGAGTGCTTTAACATTTTGATTCATTGTGTCTGTACTGTACTCACTGTACACGCTGATGTACAATAATAACATCGAATACGAAAAAGACAATAAAACAACGCAAATGTACTGCATGAGCAAAGAATCAACCATTACAGAACTGAAATGTGTTTTAATCAAATGAATGATAATGTTTTTCCAATTTCATCGTAAAATCCTTTAAATGATTTTAAATTGTAAACAGAAATTTTGGATGTTGCAATTCAATATTCATTCATGCTGCGCCTTGTCTTTTGCTTTTGTATCAAAGGATTTGAATCATTGTCACAAACTCTGACTTTCTAATCTCTATATCTTTGCAACCCAATGTCGTAGACCTTAAATAGTTTAAACTATGAATTTTGTTAGATCAAATAATCAAAGTTTGAAATATAAAAAGTTTACACCAGAAGGATGCAAAGATATAGTTATTAGAAAATATGAGTTCATGTCACAGACTCAATAATTTTAACGGAAAACAAGAAGAGGTAAAACGTATAGAATATTACTTCGTGCGAAGTCAAACCTTATAGAAGTCCAACGTATAGCAACAAGGCGTATTTTCCGGGAGAACATTTTTTATATTTTTGAGAAATGTAAGTAGATATAATTTTCATAAAATCCTTTTATTTAAATTGTAAAACGGAATTTTATGAAATCATATTCGCATTACTGGAGAACTTTTTTATACTTTTTAGAAATTTCTTTCTTCTAAAAATAAAACTGTAGATAGCATTTTTATAAATAGTAACATGCAATTTTATGTATGTATGTATGTAACCATATAATCATTCATTTATGTTGTCAGTACATAATAAAATCTGGGGACCTTAAACACAATAGAGAGCAGTACAAATGTACCTATTAAACTATTTTGCTCCTTTAATGTCTAGGGTATATTAAAAAAATAGAAATTATGATAATGATAGTGATAAGCTACAATGTTTTACAAAAACGTTTAATTTCTCAAAAATATAAAAAATGTTCTCCCGGAAAATACACCTTGTTGCTGTACGTAGCTGTTTCTATACGTTGGATTTCTATAAAATTTGACTTCCCTTCGTGCTATTCATAATATCTGTTCCTTGATTTATATATAGTTTTTAATAAAGTTTACTCCCACTACTCTCAATTTTGAATTCTAAATCTGTATTTAATCCCACTAATTTAAGTTTTAAGCTTCACAAAATTAGGACTGCAAAATATTTTTCAAAATTTTTAAAATATTCTTGCATTTCTATATAATTACTAATAATGAGAAATGATATCAATACAGCTCAAATAGAATACTTTTAAAGGATTTAAGATATTTGTCATGATTTGAGAGTTACTTTTGAAAAAATTTATTCCTGTTTCCAGGATTTTTGAAAATGAAGACGACATTTTCATACTTTCCAAGAATGTTCGAAAATCCAGCGCCAGCGAAAATTATTTTATAAAAAATCAAAAATGTTAAGAAATATTAACTATATACGAATGAGTCGAAAAATAATCGATGACTACTGTTTGTAATATCTGAATGATTTGTTTGGAATTAAATTGATTTGTTTACGATCCTAGTTAAATGTTGCATCTTTCCGAATTTGTATTGACGCTGCGTTCTTCGATGTAAGTCGTTTTTAACAATTTTCTCCTTATAGACGCAGCAGATAGAAGTAAGATTAGTAGCGATCAAAAGCGCTTTTTTATGGCATTTAACCTATACCCCTTTTCATTTTTTGCGAACACTCCCTTTAAGTATCTTAATTTTCTTACTCTGTTTAGTAAATAGTATATATATATATATGTTTGTATATAGTATATATATATATATATTTGTATATAGTATATATATATATATGTTTGTATATAGTATATATATATATATATTTGTATATAGTATATATATATATATATATATATATATATATATTTGTATATAGACCTGAAGTTGTCTGGAGGAGAGGAGACGGACAAATGATAACTGTTAAGACTAACGGAAAGAAGAGGAAAAGTAAGATTAAATTCAAAGTACTCATTTCCTAATTTCTTTCATTTGTAAAATGGAGCTCATGCAACATACCATACAACCTGATTCAAGCTCTGCACAAATGAAAATTCTAGATACGTCGCTCCTTTTTTTTTTTAAACTTACTTATTGACTTTTGGAGTCTTGCATATCTTTACGCAAAATTGATTTCAAAGCTAACATAGTTTCGAATTATTATTAAAATTATTCTGGGACCGGATTTAATGAAATATGCGAGAAGTCGTTGAATTACGTGGATACAGTTCAACCACGTATCTTTAAACCAAGCTGTGAATCTGTGCCATAAAACTTAATTTAACCCTTGAGTCGTCAAATTTAAAGATTTTAAGGACGTTTTTACAGTCTCATTCTCTGTGGGCAACCATTGAGTACTGCGACTTCTCTCCAATTCAATTCCGGCGGATCCGTGAAAAATGTGATTTTTTTTAAAGACAAATACAAATCATGCATATTTGGGCCTGTTCATCAGGGGGAAACTAGGTTAACATTTCTCTATCTCGATGGTTTAATCTTAGATGTTAAAGACTTCTTGATTTCTATCATAGGTCAAGCTCAATAATCTCAATAGAAGGAGATGAATCTTTTGGTGTATACTGTCAAATTTTAGCAATCTATAGTCTGTACTCTGTGCACTGTAGATCTTACCCTAGAGGCCGGAAATTTAAGAAAGTATCGCTGAACGAAACTACCAAGTTTACTTTTGGGTGTTTTTTTCTTTCATTTGTGTAGATTTGAATTGATGAAATGAGAAAAGAAAAAGAGAATAGAGAAACCAAATGAAATAATATTTCTTGACCCAAATATTGGTATCTACAAAACTGCCAGACCCCGTTCATGAAACCGGGTTTCCGATACTGGGTTTTATTATGATACTCTGTCTTAAGTTTCCGATACTGGGTTTGATTATGATACTCTGTCTTAAGTTTCGGGCTCAAGCTTCCTGAAGTCTGTCCGATTCTTCAAATGAACCGGAGTTTTAAAGTCAAGAGTTTCAGTTCAGCATGGATTAAATATGCGTCAGGTTCTAGGAATTGATATTGATTACGACGCCGAAGCAATTAGCGCTATACAAAATATAAGTTATCTAAACTCCAAAAATAATTTTTTCCTAAAATAATAAATTTTTTGACGGTTTTACGACGTATTTCTTAGTTTTTTTTTTTAACTTCCTCCCATGGTACAAAAACCATTCTAAATTTCAAAAATGAAGGACATGAGTTTTTGCCACAAACTCTGATTTTTTAATCCCTTTTTGTTATGTTGATACTAAAATGCCTAAGTTTGAAATAGCTAAGGTTTACACAATCAGGTTCCAAAGATATAGGAATTAGAAAGTTAGAGTTTATGGCAAAATCCCAATTCCTTTACATTACAAATCAATGAACATTGTATAACATGTGTTTCTGCTCTAAACCTCCATATTCATTTAAAAGTTAACTTGAAAACAATTAGATATAACATGTGTGCCTGATCTAAACCACCATTTATTTAAAAGTTAACTTGAAAACAATTAGATATAACATGTGTGCCTGCTCTAAACCTCCATATTCATTTAAAAGTTAACTTGAAAACAATTAGATATAACATGGCAGAAAACGAAGGCAATATATATTTACACTATATTTTATATTAAGGTTTGAAATTCCTTAGTCTCCCTACTGTCAACAACAAAATTCTATTACAATCTACAAAAACAAATAAATGTTTAAATATAATATTTTCAAAAAATGCAACAAAACTTTTTAACCTTTATCTGATTTGACAATGTATAAAATATTGTCATTTAATGCTCCCAACTCCTCAAATATTTCTGTAGCAAATCAAAAATCCGAAAATTAATCTTAAGAAAACTCCCATTTGAAAGTAATCATTTCTTTAAAGAGAATTAATGGATATCTTATTTGTTTAGATCAAACAAATACATACTTCTATAAATACATATTACCATAAATACCCATAAATACAGTTATGAAACAGGCATGCACAGTACAAACTGCACAGTGCACACTCTTATAATTACGGTTTACTACTCGAAATTACGACTGCAGTCACTTTAACCAGTATAAATTGTTAATATGATAAAAGAAAAATATTCACTGCCCTGAATTATTAGGTTATGTGAAATATTTCTAATATTTGAAAAGTTTAATTGACAATCCGCTCTAGGAAAAAAAATGTTTTCTTTTTTGGAAAGTTAACGAATTAAAACTTTTTGTTTTCTCAAAATGATTTAAAAGTTTAGAGATTAGAACACCTCATGATCCAGAAGTTTTTAAATAGGGTGAAACAAAAAAATTCATATTTAAAGAAAAAAATAATGCACACGAGCACGGCGAGTACTTTTGAAAAAGTTTTAGAGAAATATTTTTATTGATTTTAAGTATATATATATATTATATACACACATAGAGCCTGAACATATATATAGAGAACCTGAACATAGATATAGAGAACCTGAACATAGATATAGAGAACCTGAACATAGATATAGAGAACCTGAACATATATATAGAGAACCTGAACATAGATATAGAGAGCCTGAACATAGATATAGAGAACCTGAACATAGATATAGAGAACCTGAACATAGATATAGAGAATCTGAACATAGATATAGAGAACCTTAACATAGATATTGAGAAACTGAACATAGATATAGAGAAAAAGAGAAACTGAACATAGATATAGAGAAACTGAAACTGTACCAATGAACTGTAGAATCTGACTAAATTGATTATTTTGGACCTTTAGGCTCTTGGTGCCCATAGGAGTAATTCTAAAACAATAACGGTCCGAGGAATTATTTTTTGAGATAAACTGACATATTTGCTCTCTTTGTAACTCTTTTATCCTACGCACCTGGGAGATCTCTACAAATTTAGATTTTGCATACAATTGAATTTATCTTAAAACCCTATATTTCAGAATCGAAATATAACTTAGTTTTAGTAAACTAGATAAAATGGAAGAGAACCTAGTCATTCATTTCTCACAATCGCACACTAAATTACGAAATAAAAAAATCGCTTATTATTGACAGTCATCCAATTTTTGCTGCAAAATATTCGATTTTTTAAAATTTGTTTTTCGCAGTGAGGCCTCTAATATACAATTAATATTATTCTTCCTAAATTGATTTCAGATGGTTTTTTTCGCTGAATTAAATATTAAAGACTATATTCTGAAAAAGCTTCAGAAACTGTTTAGAACTAATCATTTTTAATAATCAAATATGGTTTCCTATGAGAAAAATAAAAAGATCAAGACGAATGATAAAATAAATCAATTTTTCCGTGTTTATCCTGAACCCTGTTTTTTAACATTTTCCTGGTTTACCCAATGCTAACAGTTTTGAGCACTGTGCTCTCACCGACAAGAAAATAGTTTGATTTAGCTTGATATCTTTATATTTTATAAATTTCTTTGTGCAACTTGTATCCGTGTACACTGAGCTGGACACTCTAGAATCGTCGATATTCAGATTAAGCATTTACTTTATTCGATATCTCGATATCTCGATATCTCTATATCTCGTGTCTGTCGTCTGTGGAAAACAAACAGCTCCCATCTGAAGTCAGGGAATTTTGTGGATATCCAAAATCAAAAGTGCTGACTGTTGATATTAAGATAAATTGATTGAGATCATGGATTTCTAAAACAAAAGTTCCCAGCTCTGTACATTTAGAAAACATCTTTCTTGTGTTATGTGTACTGTACAGTGCAGAGGTCGCTAAATTAATGATTTGCTTCTCTTAATCTCTTGTTTTTTGTTCAGATTCTCTTCTCTATATCTTTGTTCAGATTCTCTACTCTATGTCTATGTTCAGATTCTCTACTCTATATCTATGTTCAGATTCTCTACTCTATATCTATGTTCAGATTCTCTTCTCTATATATCTTTGTTTAGGTTCTCTATATCTATGTTCATTTTCTCTACTCTATATGTAGTATGTATATCTAGGTTATCTTCAAATATCTCTAGGTTCACTACATGTATATCTAGGTATGGAGATATCTGGGTCTACCCTAGAACTGAAGAGTGTAACTAGGAGTGAGATGGGTTCCTATATGTGTATTGCTAGGAACGGAGTTCCACCTGCAGTCAGCAAACATATTCATCTAAATGTTAACTGTAAGTAAAATTGTAAACATTTGGAAACAAACCATGCAACAAAAGCAATGTTGAGCATTTTTAGAAATTAGAAAAAACATTTACTTAGAGAAAAGAGGATAAATAAGTAAAAAAAAGATAAAATTCATCAGGTCAAAAGTTTCAACATTTGATAAAAGGCATCTTAGGTCAGGTCATAATGTAGAAAATGTAAAGAGGTCAAATAGCTTATTTAAAACAAAACCCAAAGCATTTTGGGGAACAAATTTGCCATATCTTTATAGTAACTTTTTGAATGTTGTCTTTTATTTGAAATCAGTAGATTTTGTAAAGTGATAACCAGAAAACTCTTAAATAGGAAAACGATTTTTAGATTTTAGGTATGAAGGTATGACTGAATAGTTTAATGAACATTGGACACAGAATTGTGCAATGTAAACAGATCAATTTAACTTAATTAGTGATATGATAAGTGTCTAGTAAAACTATTTGCCTTGTAACAACATCAAATTCCCTTAGGTGTATAAAGTCGTCTTCCTATTTCAAAGTTTCTAGTTATCACTGTAAGTAGGAGCTCAGGTGCTTATGTAATACTTGGAAATTGAGAATTTTTAGAATTTAATTCTAAAATTAAAATTTACCAAATATTTAGTTCAACCGCAGATCTCAAGTCAGCAGCAGTTGGTGGGAGCTCCGGCAGGAACAGAAATAAAATTAATCTGTATTGCAGAGGTAAACAGTTCTTTTTTACAGGGGGGTGGGGGTATGCATCACCCAAGAACCAAAGTACTGTAGACGACCCCCTCCCCCCCCCCCGCCCACTTGTAAACCTAATTTTTCTCTTCAGAAAGTGAATAACACTTAAAAATGTGGTCCTTGGAATTTAACTACTTAACAATTTTACCTTTTCGCTTCTATAAAGAGGAGGGGCGGGGGGAATTCCCCCATCTTCATTGAATCCTACATACACACAATTGTTTCAAATTTAAGAATGCTTTTAACGCTCTATGATTAAGGGCGCCGCTGACTCCCGAATTCGAATTTATTTTTATTTCAGGCTTCTCCACGGCCCATTAACTACTGGACTTTTGGTACAGGCGAGATGATTGTTCCTAATGAGAAATTTAAGATGGAGGTAGGTTAATAAAAAGGAGGATTTGTTCTGAACTGGAGACAACTTTAAAAATGGAGGTATAGGTTAATAAAAAAGGAGGATTTGTTCTGAACTGGAGACAATTTTATAAAATGGAGGTAGGTTAATAAAAAAGGAGGATTTGTTCTGAACTGGAGACAATTCTATAAAATGGAGGTAGGTTAATAAAAAGGAGGATTTTTTCTGAACTGGAGACAATTTTATAAAATGGAGGTAGGTTAATAAAAAAGGAGGTTTTGTTCTGAACTGGAGACAACTTTTAAAATGGAGGTAGATTAATAAAAAAGGAGGATTTGTTCTGAACTGGAGACAATTTTATAAAATGGAGGTAGGTTAATAAAAAGGAGGATTTGTTCTGAACTGGAGACAATTTTATAAAATGTAGGCAGGTTAATAAAAAAGGAGGATTTTTTTTCTGAAATGGAGACTATTTTATAAAATTGAGGTAGGTTAATAAAAAAGGAGGATTTGTTCTGAACTGGAGAAAATTTTATAAAATGGAGGCAGGTTAATAAAAAAGGAGGATTTGTTCTAAAATGGAGACAATTTTATAAAATGGAGGTTTGTTTATATATTACAGGTAAAGGGTTATAACATGGAGATTGGTTTTATAAAATAGAGGTAAATTGTTCAAATGAAGGCTGGGTTCAGAAATTAATTTATGAAATGGAGCTTGGTTTATGTGGAGATTGGGGATTTATCGAGATTGGAGGTTTTTGGAGGTTGGAGGTTGTTTTATGAATTCAAGATTGTTTCATATTTTAAATAAATATTGTTTTAACAAAAAAATGTCAATTTATGAACTTAAGTTGACCCATAAGATGTTAGTAAAGATCAGGATGAGTCCTCTTGATCAAACAATTTTTTGAAATAAAATTCTGAAACGTGACATTTTTGATATATTAAAAAAATAATTTTATATTTTTAAACAGACATGATCCAAGAAATATCCGCGAAATTTTTTTCCCATCCGTTAACAGATAATTTCTATTCAATTCTAAAATTTTATCGGGTTGACCAATTATGATTGTTCGTTCGATCCATAAATATGAGATAAAAATAACTTTATAAAATGGTGGCTGGTGTATCGAATGACGTGGTTTAGGCTTACAAAATACAAGTAGGTTTGTCAGGTGGTGGTAAGTTTATAAAATGAAAAAGAAAGATTATAGGAAACCAATTATATATATTTTAATATTTTGATGTCTAGAATTTCGCTGAAAATCTAACTATTTTCTCTCGGAAAGGGACAAAGAAAAGATGAGCTTGAATGGAATAATAAGAATATCCCTTTTGTTAAAGTTGTATCAGTCTACCTTGGGCTTGAGGGGTTGATAATACACCTAGTCAATCTTGTGCTGTTCAGGGGTTGATAATACTCCTAGTTTACCTTGTGCTGTTCAGGGGTTGATAATACTCACAGTCTACCTTGTGCTGTTCAGGGGTTGATAATACTCACAGTCTACCTTGGGCTTGAGGGGTTGATAATACACCTAGTCAATATTGTGCTGTTCAGGGGTTGATAATACTCACAGTCTACCTTGTGCTGTTCAGGGGTTGATAATACTCACAGTCTACCTTGTGCTGTTCAGGGGTTGATAATACTCACAGTCTACCTTGTGCTGTTCAGGGGTTGATAATACTCACAGTCTACCTTTTGCTGTTCAGGGGTTGATAATAATCACAGTCTACCTTGTGCTGTTCAGGGGTTGATAATACTCACAGTCTACCTTGTGCTGTTCAGAGTTGGTTTGTTAACTCCTAAAGTATTTTTTCCTTTGTAAACTCTTATTTCATATAACTTTTACACATTTTCTATCCATGTTCTATCCATGTTCTATCCATGTTCTATCCATGTTCTGCAGGACTATTCATCAAGAATGCAACTTTAATGACGACCTAAAACTATTTAACTAAACTATCTAAAGGTTAAATTGAGTTTTTTTTTCACTGTATAAAATCTTGTAAATGTGCGCGTGTAAATGGGGTAGCAAAAAAATAAAGAAAGTGCTGGAACCAACCACGAATTTGATAAATAATGAATAAAATCTGTCCATTCGTCAAAAGGTTGTTGTTAATCAATTTAAAGCATTTTGTAGCAAAAAAAGAGAAACCTTAAAAGTTAAAAGCAGATAACTTGTTGCAATTTTGAGCACGTGTAGCGGCGAACAACAAAAAAGTTGCGGTATGAAACCTCAAAAACCACTGAGCTCTTCCTTGACAATTTTCTTGCGCATGTTACAAGAAAACAATTATCACAATGAGGAAATAATTCTTTTGTTGGTTGCATTCAAATATTTTAATCCTTCTTTTTGATTCTCTTGCAAGAATTTTAACTAAAATTAAATGATAATTGATTCTACAATAAATAATTCGTGTCCTATACAGACAGTCAATTTAATTTTACTTGGTGTAATCCTTGTTCAATCAAGCTATAAGACAGGCAGAATATTTTAAAATACATTTCAAAGGCGTATTTGTTTTCAGAAAGGTTTCCGCTAAGGGAAATGGGAATTATAAAACTAAAGGAGGGCTTTAGACTTTAGTCTTTAATGAGCTTAACAAAATGTGCTTGAAGATTTTGGGCTTGAAATATAACCCAGCCCCAACTTTATAAAAACGCATTCATTAAAAAGTAAACGTTGGTTAGCATGAATATTGAATATATCAAGTAAAAGCAAATATGGACCTAAATTTCTTCTCTTAGTTTCACAGGAACTGCAACTATTTTAAAATGAGAAATTTGAAAAATTTTTAACATTTCTTGTTAAACTGAAAATATTATATTCTTACTCTTTTCAGAACCTTTACACTTAATAATTCTAGACTTTATTCTAAATTAAGTCTTTTGACACAAACTCTGATTTTCTAATTTCTATATTTTCGCAACCCAATGTCACAGACCTTTGATATTTCAAACTATGAAGCCTGTAAGATCAAGTAATCTAAGTTGGAAATATTAAAAGTTTACACTATCAGGTTGCTAAGATATAGGGATTAGAAAATCAACTTCCGGCAAAGACTAACTATTGTAACATTTCTGATTTGTCAAAATAAAATTTAGCTAAATCTGCAAATAAAAACTATTCGAATAGATAGATAGATGTATTTAGACACAATTATAGAAATAAACAATAAAAAATATACATGTATTTAATAGTATTCTTTTTAAAAATCTGATGAAAAGAAATTAAATTTGTGTTTTAAATTTTTTGCAAGGCTTGATAGATTGATAGATGATGTTGAGATATCCTCTTGAGCCGATTTCAAAAGGATGAACAGACACATTCCTAGTTGTTATATCTGTGATAAAATGTTCATACTTGTTCATCTTTTGAGTGTTGGCATTTTTTATATTTTTTCCAATGGGACAGTAAGCTCAAAAATATCCATCTTTTCATCCATTCTATCGATAATTACTAGATCTGGTTTCTCTGCGGTCACAAGGAGGTGGGGGGGGGGAACAGTACCTCCCCCTGGAAGGGTATGGAACGGGATGTCGGCATACATCAAAAATCGGTCAATATCAATTGATCCAGTGGTATATTAATAAGATTGTTGTGCCTCTTTGGTGTAGTGCAACCTTGCAGCCATTCAAAATATGGTTTGCAGTTTCTTGTCTTCTACCTTGCAATTCAGCGCCTGCCTGTAAACATAGTTTACAGAGATCTGATGCGGATTTTCCTCATTGTAGAAGGCTAGTTTGTGTTGGCAGGGTGTCCAAACAGGAATTAAGTAGAAATTTCAGTGTACCTTTCTTCAGATTGAACATGTAAAATTTCCAGATCATGTCAGATTTTTCAAGCATTGCCAGGCAGAGAAACGTCCTTATTTGTGGGTTTCTGTATGTTCTCTCCAGAAAGTTTAATTTTTAAAAGATACTTTTTTACTGACAGTTGTTTTCATTTTTTTTTATAGCATTGATGTTTGGAAGCTTGGTCATCCCACTCAGGCATTTCTGCTTGACCATAGTTCTCTAATGTGGCTTGTTGAAACATTTTTTCTGCATAGTCTGTGATGGAATTTTTGCGGAGCCAATTTTTTTCCCCGTCTCATTTAGATTGTATGGCACAGTTAACTAGTATTCTAGTGAATGCTTGCATCATAGTTGTTTTGTACAGGGTGGATATTTAAGTGATGTCTAAGGCAGGTTTCTAGTGTAGAGCGGGGTGAAAAAATGGACTGGATTACCACCCTGGTAATCCATGGTTCATTTTTTTTACAAATTTATCAGTGAATGTATGTAGTTTCTTCAGATTGCTTTGTAATATCGTATGAACAGTGAGCAGAAATAGAAGGAATGAAATAATGTTTGTAGATCCAGACTTTATATTCATCCCGAAATAAGAAGGGCATTTATATTTATGAGCTTTGTTTCAAATTCACTCTTGATGTAATCGAACGCATCACTAAGTTTACCAGTAGGAAATAGAAGCTTGCCAAGAAATTTCTGCTCTTCTTGAAATATATTTGGAATTTCAGTTTCACCAATAGTAAAGTTTATTCTGCTAGGTACACCTGATCTGATGGAAAATGATCTACATTTTGTGGGGTTTAATTTCATTCCCATACTTTCAATATTTGATTTTATTTACTTTTTTTATGTTTTCTCAGATCTGTTTTGTATCAGGCAAAAATTGTCAGCATAGGGCAGAGTAATAATTTTCTCTCCATTCAGATTAAATCCACAATCATTCTATAACTCTGTTGAAATTCAATGATTGGATTGAAAACCATCAGAAATATGATGGGACTAAGCGGGTTACCTTGGAATACTCCTTTTTTAAAGTGAAACCCATCAGTAGAGAAGTTGTCTGTAAATACACGAGAAAATTAATTAATATGCAGGGTATTGATAAAAAACTGAATTTCTGCAGGAACATGAAACCTTTTGAGGATATGCATGATGAGAGGGTGCGTCACTGAACCAAATGCTACTTCTAAATCTAAAAATGTTTTATGGACCGTTATCTTGTTTGTCTTTGCTTGGCTTATAATCTCTTCAAGGACGACATTATGCTCAATTGTGCCATTAATGCCCGGCAGAAAGGCCTTCTGTACTTTTTCATCAACATAATTCTTCTTGAAACTTGGTCAGTCTTTTTGCAAGAAGGAGATGGTAAGTTTTTGCAATGGAAGATGTAAAAGAGATCATGCGAAAATGTCCTTAGTCAATTTATAGTGGACACCTTTATGATATATTCACTAATTACATGAACTACTTATTATAACAATTTAAAAAGTCGGTTTTATTTAATGTAGCAAAGTAAAAAACATGTATTTTCAAGAAAGACGACCTTTAAAGATATTCCTTTCCAAATGGAGGACCAGTCATGCATACGATGAGGGGGGAACTTGTCTTCTGCTCGTTGGTACTCCATACTTCTTGATGTGCTCACATTAGGATGCCATCCCATGACTCATTTTATTTCTTGCCAATTTTTATATTTTCATAGTTGGAATTGAATCAGAGAGCAATATTTTTTCATTTGTTGAATTTGTATTTGTTTTTGTAGGAGGTAGATGAGAGTAGTTACAGGTTCATGATTACACTCACAATTAAGAATCTCATCCCCCCAGGTAAATGACATTAAAATACCCCTCCCCTTCTTGTCATATAGTTTTTCTTTAAAAAAAGTGTAAAAATAAGAAAATTTTTATGAAAAAACAAAACAATTTTTTGTTTATTTTTGAAGTACAAATTCAAATAGCAATCTAAATCTACGTAACACGCAGATTTAACGGTTCTGTCAATATTTCAGAAAGCTGTAACTTTTGATCACAATATGACCCATTATACATAATATTTTATCCTTTTTTCTTAAATACTTTTTTGTCTGCATATATATTTTAAATGAAAAGTAAAACATAAACAAATCTGAAGTTTTAAAGATTGTTGATTTGTAGACCAAAACACTTTTGATTTCAAATAAATGAAACCGATGCTTCTCACTCTGGTTAGTCCGGGGTGGTAAGCTCAAATATATCTTTGGAGGATACCAGTACTTGTATTAGTACCCTAATTAGATTCAAGCAAGATTGAAAAAAGATATTTTTATCTTAGAACTTTAAAGCAAACAAAAACATCTTTTCTTCTAAGAAAAGTTTTTTCCCGGCTTTAATGGAAAATAAATTAATTTACGAAGCGCCTTTATTATTTGGAAACTAAATGTCAGAAAATACTTGTTGATCCCAAAAATCATGATTTGATAAGGATTTCTTATTAAAAGTAATATTATTATTATTTATCGTAATTATGTGAGGTTTCATGATCAGTAATTTATTTATCCTCTTAGTTTAAGATAACGTCAGTAATTACTCCGAAAAAATAATTTTTATTTTAAATTTTTAAATAAGCTCTATAAAAAGGGGGCACATTGATGTTTTTTTTTAGGGGGTGGTAATGAAAATTGGGTTTACACCATAAACCTCATATTCAAGTCAAAAAAGGATTCGCGCGTTCTTACATCGTTGGTTATTTTATTTTTCGCAGGCTAGACATTTTTTGTTGTTGTCGTTCTGATGATTCAATTATTAAATCAATATCTTCTAATATTAAATTCCATTAAATAATCAAATAACTCGAAAAAGGTATACACATACGATTTATCCAATTGGGAACATTTTTTGCATCAAAATTTTAAAGGGGTATTGACCAATGATCATTTCACATAGACATTTACACATACTTTCGTACTTTCATCCTTTCATCCTTTCACATAGACTCTATGCCTTCCACTTTACAAACGATGATTTTCCGTTATAACTATAAATCAAATGATGTTTTTATTCACCTAATTCATTATAAAGTTTATTTAACAGTTTAAAAAATTCTAAATTGAAATTAATAGTCTAGGGAACATACTGTATTAATGTAATCTACTGCATATAATTTGTGAACATTTACATGATTTGTACACTTTCAGGCTGAAAGGGGACTGAAAAAATTCATACCGAGAGATTCTCTAAATTCCTCTCTAATATATATTCTATTCTCTATGTATAATTCTCAATATCCCTTTAATTCAAAGATAACAAGTAAAAAGGTTATACCCTTTAAACCTTTATTAGAGAATGGCAGAGCAATCAATATATTTTAATAACGGAAATGGATTTAATTGCAGCCATTTTTCGGCAGTACTGCAGAAATCCGCGAGTCAGTTTCTGGAAAAGGTGGTGCACAAAGGATTCCTTTTTTATATATACTCCATTCATTCTTTTATATTTAGTTAAAACCTAATAATTTTCTAGATTTCTTCTATTTTAATTTCATTCATTCTTTATATTTAGTTAAAACCTAATTATTTCCTAGATTTCTTCTGTTTTAATTCCAACAAAAGTTGGTGATGAGAAAATGAAGAAAAGGGTATTAAAAATCATTTACCCCCCCCCCCTTTATAACCCCATTGTGTGAGGGGGGAGCCAATTCCAATATAGCTCGTCCTGAAAACGCCGCTGTCTAGCCGTAGCTGTACAGAGAAAGTCTATGGATTCCACATCTCCCATGGATCTTACTTGAACATGTTTATTTACAGTTTAAAATTCCTTAAAACTGCTTTTTCCAAAGCAAAGTGTAAATTTAATTGAAAGAAAAATGCAAAAAAAACTGAATAAAAATCTAACTAAAATTCAGAAAGAAACCCAACGAAATCATTTCGAATGCTAAGTAGTGTGCTAAATTCTCAGACGTCAGCGCTAGAACCATGAATTAAATTTATCTTTAGATTTTGGAAGCTTTCGTTGTATTTCTAAGAACTCTATTGGACAAGCGGAGGAATATATTGAACTTTATGGTAAGCTGCGCATTTTTGTTTTTTAAAAGGATTGTTCAGTTTTTGAAATTATACAAAATAATACAATTTTTTAAAATTAGAAAAACAGAATTCAATCACTTAAAGAAGTCCACAAAAACGTTCTATTCATTCTATCAGATCAAATAATCAAAGTTTGAAATATCGAATGTCTACACCATCAGGTTGCAAAGATATATGGATTAAAAACTTGATATTTGTGGAAAAGCCACAATTCCTTTGTCATCATGTTCAAAAAAATTAACCATCTCTTTCAGTGCAAATTCAAAGAAATTAATGAAACAGCTGACATTTTTTATCATGGAAAAATATTTTCTTTTTCTTCAGAATTCAAAACCATTCCGACATACAGTGTATTTTCACCCGAACCTGAACCACAGGTAATAATTGTTTAATAATAATAATAATAATAATGATAATAATAATAATAATAATAATAATAATAATAATATTAATGCAGAGAACCAATGTCTTATCATTGTCTTCAGGGGACATTTTCAGGACTTTGGAGAGTAATACAGAACTACAAAATACATATACATATAAGTTCTTGAATTGGGATTATATATTGATAATTTACATTAAAGTACACACGAACAAAGATGGTGACTGTTAAACATGTTTTAGATGAACAGCCAAGTAAAAGTATAATTTTAAATCTACATTTTCCAGGAAAGTTCGCAACAATATCAAAACTTTTGAAAAATGATTAAAGGTCTAGACTGGCTCAGATGCAAAATTATCTTCAAATGCACAGATTTTCAACAATTTTATTTTTGTGCAACGTAAGATTTAATTTTCTAATCGCTATATCTTAGCAACCCAATATCGTAGACCTTAGATATTTCAAACTATTGATTTGGTTAAATCAAAGTTTGAAATATCAAAGGTTTGCATCTTTAGGTTGCAAAGATATTTGCATTAGAAAATTTGATTTTGTGGCAAAGACTCAATTCCTTTATTTTCAATTATTTCTTTTAATAATCAATAAAGGGGTAGGGGTTTACAATAAAATCTCCAGTTCAGTGAAGGGGGGGGGGGGCTACCTCTGAAAGTTTTGAATTAGGCCTTTTAAGTTGACAAAGTTGAAAGGTATTTAACATATCACTAGGTACAACCTTTTAAATCACATCAAAAATGTCCCTATTCAACTATGAATAACACGGCAGTTTAGGTATCAAGCTTTAATTAAAAAATCAAAGAATAGATGAATGAATGTATAAATGAATCCCCTGTATATCTAGAGTGGTGAGGATACTAGAAATGAAGTGGCTCTGACCCCCACGGATAGACCTGGTATACCTGGAAAACAGACACACATATACTCAGACAGAAAGAAGGAAAGTTAAACCAAGATGTCCTCTCACTCCTGTCAACACAATTTCACCGTCTTGACAATTTCCAGATTTATATTAAACTTAATACTTTAAAAATTTCAACTTTTAAGAGAATCTTTCGAAAAGTATCACTTTTCTAGGTTTGTAACAGCCGATAATTTTAGTATACTCTTTTTGTGTCCTCTAGCCGCAGCGTTCGACTGTTAGCCTGTTAGTGTTTTAAGGACGAAACGAATCAATCAGCGTCACAAATTCAGAAGGTCTAAAATAATCCTAAAAATGAGAATGAAATGGTTTCCCAAATTTTTTTCCGTCCTTTCGGATTCGAAGTTTTTTTCCGGAATATATGTCCTGTCATTTTGGATTTTAAATGCATTATGTTTGACATAATATGGTTTGATTTGGTGAATTAGACAATCGGAGAAGGGATATTCGGTAGAAGTTCCGCTGGAAGAGTACACATGGAGCTAACAGTTGTCTTCGGTCTAATCCTGACTTTTTATTAAATCAAAAAAAAGAGGTGGGTATTCAACTTCTCTCATTTAATAATTATATTTGTTTTAAACTTTAAATAAGTATTTTCTTTTAGGTCCAAATTCAAGAAGAAGTATAAATTGTAGTAACTGGACATTGGAAATCCTGAAGTACTTGAAGTGTACATATTTACATACACTTTAACAACATTGATTGTAAATGTAACTTTTTACATCAGTAATGTACACATAAATCCCTTCCCCATCTGTTAATATATGTACAGTGTATATACAGTGTAGCCTAATTATCTGTGGAAGTTAGTGGCGACTTTAAATCATCGTTTAACTCGACATTCATTTATTCATTATTAATTAAAGTTAATAACGTCAACTTAAAACAATGCTTCCCATATTCATCCTAATCATGGATTTCTAAAATGTGCCTGCATTTTATATTTTAAAAATAAGATACGTTTTCTTTGGTGAAATACAACTTAAGTTTTAAAAGTACACTTCTAAAGATTAAGCGTAGACCACATTTAGGAGAGCCCAGTTTTCTTACATGCAAACCTCAACATTCATTGGAAATCTTACATGGGTATTCCACACAACATTACAGTTGAGAGACAACTTAAAGATCATCTTTGATTGTTACCATTGTCAAAATGGTTAGCAAAAAAGATCTAATGATAATGAGATGTACCCGGGTGTTTCTTAAAAAATGTAAAGGATAATTTCAGTTAAGACAATTTTGGTTTCATCTAATAGATCCAAATCTAAACGAAATATTAAAAATCTATGGTAATCATGGAAGCACAAAAAGGCAGACCACATTTTGGAAATATAAAATTATAATTGTCTCAAAATCATTCTTGAAAATTTAAATTGACGAATTTATGCCAATGACGACTTTAAAGTCGACTCTGATGTGTCATGTTTTGTGGGATGTCCTCTAAAATATACAATTTCAAATAGAATAAGTCCGATCAACTCAAATATACAATTTCAAATAGAATAAGTCCGATCAACTCAAATTTTCTTGAATTTTGCATAATTTATCAATTTAAAAGATTTTCTATTTAACTTTTAATATTTAAGTTTTAGTAGCTTACCGCATTTCTTTCATTTTTTTTAGAATTTTTGTTCTTTTTATTAAATTGAATTCTGCTGGATTTTTTAAGTTGATCTTTATGAATAGGTTTATACATAGGGAACACAAAATATGAAATATAATGGGAGACATTCATCTGTCAATCGGATTTTACATGGAATATTTAGAAGCCAATAATCATAATCTATATACAAAATGTGACATTTTTTAATGGTTTCAAAATAATCAAGGATTTTAAAATTAGATTAGTTGTCTTAATATACAATATATTTGTTATTTTTAAATATATATTTGTTATCAAGATCTTATTCGATCTTTTAGTCGCCTCTTGTTTAAAATTGATGGGACACTAATTATACAATTTTTATTTCTATCAGTATTTTATATTCACCTTTTTCCATATACCCCAATTATCTCGTATAACATTTTTGAACTATTTGATTTATAAAGTTCTAAAATTATCAAAAAAAACTTATCAATTTGCCTATACATAAGGTTGCATCAATCTAACAATCAACCCCCCCCCCTTGTACCTTTTTATATTTTTTAATGTGTTTTAAAAAACATATTACGGTACATGTTATAACACCCAAAATGAGACAAAAAAAGGTTCATTGACTTTGTTTTATACATATCAATTTATGGTTTTATAGTTTTCCCTGCATAAAGCTGAACACTTTAAAGGTTCGTAAAGTTTCATTCTTTGAGCGTAACCCTGTACAGTGCAACATGTACAGCGTTCATATTGTACAACTGCACAACGTGAACATTCAACGCGGTTTTTTGTTAGTACTGCATTAACAGCATAGAGGCCAATATTTTAATAAATTATAACCGTTATAACCCGGTATACGAAAACATGAGGCCGTCGTATTTTTTTCGTGTTATCAGACCAAACAGTAAAAATTTACAAGTGTATTGTTAAGTACATGACTGTTTATAACGCTATATGATATATAAATAAATTACGATGTTTTTTCATAAAATTTTTAGTTTTAACTTTCGACTTGTAAATAAGAAATAAGTTTTTCTTTTAATTGTAAAATATTTTCATTTCGTTTTGAGTGTTTTCATTTCAGAGAGAAATAATTGATAACATCACAATTTATTCTAAAACATTTTAAAGGGGAAATTCAATGTTTTTAAAGAGAATAATGAAAGTAATCCAAATGAAAGGGAGATGATGGGCGAAAAAATCACGAGCGAATCATTTAAGAAAACTTTTTTTGGAAAAGAATCGATACATGGCAGTGGCGTAAATAAGGGGGTTTATTGGGGTTGCTTACCCCCCCCCCCCCATGATTTTCATTTTCCACTCATTTCTGGCATTTACAAACTCCATCAAAAAAAGGCTTCATTTCATACCTTTCAGCTTTCACCTTGTTTTGTATCCTTCATTATAGTCATTCATTTTACATTAACTACAAAGATCTGTAAACAACTATACTTATTTTAAGTTACATAAAAAAAATAATAGTTTTACTCTAAGAGGAAAAAGATGTTAATTTTTAAATCTTTAGAAAAGCTAATCTGCAAAACTTTGAAAAAATATTGTCTTTGTTTATATTCTAATTTCTAATTTATAAAATGTTCTTGTTGTCAATAAAGTATGTTAAGCTCTTATCTTACATAAATCCAATATTGAAATGACATTATTTAGAAGTAAAAATTTATTTTTCATTGCCCAAACCTTTTTTCTATTAAAAAAACATCAAATTGTAATGACTCATACTTTACAATTTAGAATCATTTAAAATCTGAAGTATCGGAAGTATCTGCACATTTAGATTATGTTCGTGCAAATTTAAAAGATATTCAATTTTAAAATCAAATTTTTAAATTCTAGGCTTATTTATAGCCACTGGTTTGAAGTTCAAATAAAAGATTTTTTTTACAAATATCAGAATGGCATGAGAGGTTTCTCACAGATTAGTGAAGTATTTGTCAATTATCATAAATATTAAATAATCACAATTTTATGATGATTGAAGAATACTTCTCAATTTGAGAAACCTCTCATGCTCCTCATGCCACTGTGTCGAAAAACTCAAGTTATCAAAGCCTCCTGCATTACACAGGCACATTAGATGTATTGCGCGATGCGCATGCTCTATACTACATAGCTGAGGCTCGGTCTGTCTAGCGAATCTGGGAGGCTCGAGTGTCTACATAGCGGAGGCTCATGGCGTTCGGAGGTTCCCTCCATCGTCGGGTAATTAGTACCTGCAGTTCAACTTGGATTTAAAATACTGATAAAAAAGCATAAATATGATCAAGCTCAATGTGGGGCACAATATCAAAACGTTAGGAAATAGTGAAATTCATAGTAAACATTTAAAAATACCGGTTGACGTGGTATTACGCAATGTTGGAGGGTTGGACTCAGGGTGGGCAGATTTTCAGATTAGGAAAAAGCCACTTTTTATTTTTAAAAAATTGCCAATTAAGCCATTTCTGGTCTAAAAAAAGCCAATATTAAGCCACTTTTTTAGCTATAAAAATAGGTATTTTATCCTTTTTAGGAGAGATTTTAGTTATTAGTAACCTTTTTCTTTTGACTGGACTACCCATTCTGTATGAAACAATTTTAATAACTTATCAACTGTAAATTAACAAACATAGTAAGTATATTTCAATTCTAATCCAAGCTGTATAACTGTAAATGCAAGCACTAAACAAAAGATTATTTCCAAAAGAATCTTGTTCCTCTGATAAATGAAGTGTTACTGTGTTTCAGGTAACCTGAAGCTGAAAACTGGTTTGTGAACATTTGTACAGTTATAGATAGTGCCCACCAGATGAACGTACTCTACAGACGTAAACAGTTGAAACACCCGATTTTTGAAAGTACAACTTGTAAGAAACTTTGATCAAGAGAGAGAAATGCAGCCAAATTTTGGTTTGTGTGATGTGTCATGAACTTGAATTACAGTTTTTACGGTAGATAAATGTAAATTTAAAGGTTTTACTGTAAAACTTTGAAAAAACCCACTTTTATGACACTTCTGCCACAGCCTTGAAAGATAGCCATTTTAAGGAAATGTGGCTGGAAAAATAACCATCTGGCAACCCTGTTGGTTTCAAAGACGACCTATAACGGATGTTGTATTCTCAGCTCGAACCTAGCTAAACTTTGAGAACATACTAAACATAGCAACGTGGATTCTTGGGAAACCAAAACTCACCGTCAAAAATTCGAACATCAAGAGACCGTTCAAATTTTTTTACAATTGTTGATAATAGAAACTATATGTTTATGTCATACTGAACTACTGTTTAATGAAAAGAACCAAAGTGAATAAATACTAAAGTGGAACAGACTAAGGAAACGACGACAGCTGACCNACAAATTCTAAGTCTGTGTTTGTAAACAAAGGGAGTCCAGTTTCTGTTGTACTGTACACTCCGTATACAGACCAATTTATATACAGAGCGTCCCATATCATATTAGATCTCCAAGTTTTAACGCCAAAATAAACCCATAATACTAGAAAACCCTATCATTTTCCGCAAGAAAATTCTTATATTAGCCTTATTCAATTTTTCAAAATGATTCATTCTTCTTAAATTTTCTGATTAGTCCCGAAAATCGTAATTTAGACCGATTGACGATCTAATATGATGTGGGACACCCTGTATATATACATATTTCTAAATACTTGGGACATAAAATGTCGTCATCCAACTATGAGTTTGGTCCACTTTAGTATTTAATCACTTTGGAAAAGAACATTCTAAAGATAAATATCATAATCATGAAATTGCAGTAAACTATAACATGCGTCAAATTTTAACATTGAATATTTGATATATTCTAGATTTTTCTTTTTTTGTGTAAAAAAAGTATTAGTCATAATTATGCAGTACGTGTTAAACCTAGAATACCTAGAAGATTCTGATAGTATGGTTCATTACGGCGGGAAATCTATAATAGGCTGTAGGACAAGTAGGACTGCGGAGTGGAAAAGGGGGGAGGAGAGAAAAGCGGTGCTGAAATTAAAAAGGAACATCAGATAAAACTTGGGTCGCGATCAAGAGCTAAAGTGATTAGCTTTCAGCCTATACCCCCTTTCATTTTTCCTTTACTGTCCCTTTAAGAGTCTTTAAAAAATCAAAGTATAGTGCAGTTTTGGTTCAATTTTATGGTTTTACCTAAATTGGC